AAAGGTAGCGCATTCTCCTCAGTTATTTTAAGACCTTGAATGTTGGTCCGGCCGGGGCTTGAACCATCGACCTCGACCTCCCGCACAACAGTCCAGCGCTCTAACCAATTGAGCTAACCGGGAGGCGGTTCATCTTTCTAAACCGAGAATCGGGTGTAAGACTCGGTGTCTAGTTAAGTACATCTACGGAAAGTTGTTACTAGGGTAACATCATAATCTGCACTTACGAAAATAGGCGCCCAAACACTATTTTTTATCTAGAAGCCAGATTAAAGTTTTCAAATTTGAGGAGTTGAAGACCTGCGCATAAAAAATTCTCGCAGAATTTAATCACGCGAAATTAAGTCCCCTATAGAAAATCCACAACACAGAAAAAAATGATTGATAATGGTAATTGAACTGAGTGGAGTGCAATTTGGGCTGAAGTCATACGTGTGATTTCAAGCGCGCAGCGCGAGTTCGATTTGAAATCACAAGTATGATTTCAGACCAAAATTGCACGACACGAGGTTCAATTACCACTTTATTACATCAATTTTGAAATCGCCCAAATACAGGTCAATTCAAATATTCTACTGATGCAGTACTGAGCCAGTTTTTAAGTAAAAAGTGGAACCACTAACGCTTTTACATCTTATTTTGTATCCAAACAGAAAGACTTAATTTGACGTCATGTGTCAAAAACTCAGTCAAGCGTAAAATGATGCGATTTAGAGAAAAAAATGGTGCGATTTGTGAATAAATCGCATCACTTAGAGCCAATCAGATTACAGGAACCACTAGTGATTTCACAATGGATGTAAAAAACATGTAATAGCAACAACATATATGCAGGATATTTATCAACAAATACACAAGTTATGAACTATTCTTACTGGCAGGAATTATACCAATAAGAAAATGAAAAAATTTAAGCCTGAAAAATCTTACCTCTTTCATTCCTTGCTTTTCCCTCATACTTTCAATCAAATTTAAACCGGTATCCATGCTGAGGTGAAAATCTTAACCACATGTTATGTCCACTGGATCGCAGGGTAAAAAAAGGAGTGTTCATTCCACAAAATACACCCAGTAGATTGGCAGACTGATTATAGCCATCACGGATCTCAAGATACTCCTCATCAGCACAAGGTGCTCCAGACCACGAGGCCTTCCAGATGCCAAATCTTATTTCCACATATTGTCCTTTCTCCACTTGAAGGACCTGAGTTGTATCAAAGTCTCGCATCGTATATTGCCTGGAGTAAACTTCTGTGATTATCGCAGCTATTATAAAGAAAATAATTTCATAGAGTAATAAGTGAGTACACTTTGTACAATAAGTTGGCCAATGGTTGTTTATCTCGTTCTCAAGTCTCTGTTATCGTGTACGTAAAAGATAATGTAAACTATTGATAAACTTTCAGATTAGCTTCATGAAGAAATTTTCCCAGTACTTTTCTTGTGCACCTGTAATATGAGAGGAATTTATTTTTGTGTTT